TACTGTAAACTTAGCATTTCCACAGAACACCATAATTTCAAAAAGAGCTTATCATCATCGTATTCCTTTGTATTTTTACTAATTGGTATAAGAAAAAAACCTACGGCTTGCAAAAGAGCACGACTCCATTGACTCCAGTGTCGTCGTCGGAATTTGTGTGCCCTACATTCATTTTGAAGCCATAGGCGTATGAGCCATCGTTGCAGTACTCAGCCTGACCCCAATCACCAAAGTCTGTTTGTGTTGGTGGTTGAATGCTTCCAACCTGATCATTTCTGTGGTGTGAGACTTGCCAGGCGTCACCAGCTGCAAGGAGCATGAACAGACAAAGAGCTGCAATCATCTTCCTCRAAGTAAACAGGCGTCCAAACTGGAATKCAATAAGAATACCGGATGCAGAAAGTGCCTTCTTTCAATCCTAGCCATAACAATTTGGGGCGTGGCATGAGAATTGGGATGTRGTATYATAAGGACATGCAGCAAACATACGCGTTTCGGAACATCGATAAGGGTGACAATTTTAACCAAGTAGACTAAACTAGCCAATTTCACATAACATATTTTATARCTCATCTGATTCACATAGCAGTGCCATGCATGAAGAGCGCGCCACGCACTATAGTAGTTCGTTATTTGGATCTACTTCGAAAACGTTTTGATATTATATAAATAATAACATTCTAAAAGATTATCGCTCCTTCCTTTTAAAAAATATGTCTCGGATAATACGTTTGGACTGATAATTACAGCGGAAATAATGACGATATATTAACAAACAACAACTGCGAACAACACCACCAGGTGAAAAAGGAGCCAAAGTGTCTAACTATCAATGTGCCTCGATTGGTCGTAAAACTGCGGAAATTCTTTGAAACATGGCAGTCACAAAACAATAAGTAACTGACCTTGTGTGCAATTCTGTATTCAACCACGTTGGGTGCTATAAACAAAGTGATTCAAACGCCTCRTAAGTCTATTATTACCTTATTACTATAGGACAACAGCTGTACCAACTGGTCTAACAAGTCCATTGTGTGTAGTGACATCAGGACACAAAGAATCAATATAGTTTATTTAACAGTGAAATCAGTGGTTGTTATGATAACAGTAGCCACTACTCGGAAATGGACAAAAGAACTCAAATCGACAAAATCCCGCATGAAAATAAAGCATTGAACATCATACATGAATTCTCTACTGATTATTTTCCTCCAATTTCTAAAACATTCTCGTTTGCCAAGTCCAAARTTTARATTAATATTGACGCAAAGAAGAGACATCTGCTCCCAGGGTAAATTCAATGACTTGATGAATCTTCCATGGCCAAATAAAAAAACCAGCCTTAATGTCAAATAGTTAGATTGGTAGGTAGTTAGACTACTAGGATAGGTCTCTTCCCTTTGTTTTGTTTTGTCAGTTTGTTTTTATTGCTCTTGTTTGTGTTTTGTTTTTGTTAGTAGTTTTGTTTCCCTTTTGTCTTACTTTGATACCCTGTGTTTACTTCGCACGTTTTGTCACTCTGCGCGTAGTCAAATCAAATGCTGGGAAAAAAACTAATATGTACTCCCTTCAGATATATTTTCCACTGAACTTCTAAAGGAAGTTGAAAGCTGTTGTGTGGGAGTCGYAAGGGATCGTCGCATCATGCATTTATGTTTACGCGGTGCATCTATATAATATATCGATATTCGGAGGAGTTTTCCATCCGTCGTGAAAAGCTGAAACATCAGTGTAGTTGAAAAACAACAAAAAGTAATAATTATGAAGTCTTCTATACTAACTTTTCTGCTACTAGTGATTTTTTCCCGCAGTCGACGGAATCGATCACCCTATAAAATCGAGCAGTCAAAAACCTACCTGTATATCTCGGTGTRAAATCTCTTTATTACGTCCGAGATTCTTTGTCTTATCTAGTGGGGCTAGTTGGCCACCTCTTTTTATATGTTGAACAAACACGTAAAAGTGTAATCAAACAAACTGATTGAAAGTATCGCATTACATGTCACTTAAAAAACAATTTACTATAAGCTAAGTGGAAAAACCAAAATCTCAGTCATTTTTTATAGGGCTTTTAGAGCGTACCGTTATTATATTCTTGAGTACATGACGGTTACTATGAAAGTCGATACAATATAATATGATATGGAAAATCATAAGGAAGYACTGTTAAAGGAATCATTGAAGGGTGTATATGATGGCCAAAACTAATTACATGYTTACACTCAAGTATAATACAGGTTCAAGTTGCACATATAAGAAAGGAAAATTATTAGATTGTCCGGCTATGAACGAACGGTTTATAGAGTGTTTCTAGCACTTGTCTATGACTAAATAAAAACTAATAGAATTAATTAGGTTGTGACCCAGTCTCTATAACTCTCGTGACTTTGATTTTTTTTATCGCGTTGATTATCCAATTAACCGTCGCCTCTTCAAATGCAGGTTTTTGTCACTTAATGTTTGTTGCCACTAATTAAATTAATTAATTCATTGAATTAAGTCATGTGTGTTTTAGCGTGGTGTGTCATTGGTATTGTATCAAGAAGGTGGCTGTATAATCCCTTGCCGACGTCCCTGTAGGAAAACACTGTATATGGTGGTCGCATATTAAAGTGTACCCAGTGTGGATATAATTAATAGATATATAATTAGTATTTCTATAGTTTTTGCCCGTACAAAAAAGTCGCAGTACAACATGAAGTCTGTATCTAGAAGAGTTTGCTATTCAGTTTTTGTTTGTAGTACTAGTTTTGCCCTAGTAACGTYAATCCCATGATGCATCTCGACAACACCATAGCGGGTCGGTAAAACACGATTTCGTGATGTTACAGAGCCATTAGTGTGGTTGCCGGTAGGATAYCATCCCACTGACATATTGTATTGATGCTACATTCTGAATAAAAGCAAAATCAARGGCAAAGAAACGATAAATAGATCGATAACAAAACTGACCCCWTTACGTGACCAGACATCGTTATCTAGACCTCCGCTGCAATATCGTAACCACGTGGCTCGACGTCTGCCATGCTGGATTGACGTCTTCAATAACCGATTAATGAATTGTTTGTCTAACACCTATTGGAAGTTTCTAGACCATGAAGGGACCACCACTCAGGTCTGATTGTCAGTCAAATTCTTACTTGGCAAGCTCTCCATATATGCGCGCGCGTTTTGTACAAGCTGTATTTATTGATGATAATTATAATAATCGACATGTATTCCGTACTTTCTGCAAACTAAAAATTCTAGTAAAARCGACACAACATCGATCAAGTGTGCTTAACGATCAAGACTTGATGTATYATTAATCTATTAATCATCTATAGTGATGATTTGCACGATTGAACTCAACGGAAAACGCCACTTACATATATGAATTTTTTAACTGTAAAATTGGAAAAGATTCAAAAAATTTGGCGCGTTGTCGGTTGGAAAAATGAGCTCTCAACTGATGTTGTATCAGTTAGTCCAAAACGATTCTATCATGCATTATAGATCTAGTGGTCTTGTTCTAATTAATAAATCGATCTCCACTGCTGATACGCATGAGTTTAGAGGCAGATCACTGGAAAAAACCGGAATGGGTGTGGAGTGGGGGCAGAAACGTTTTTCGTGCAGGGTTTTTTGTTTGTTTTTTTTTCGTGGGTTTATTGTGGTCAGAATGTTTTTTTTGTGGTTTATTGTGATCAGAATGTATTTTTTTTTTGTCATAAATATGCAGTGTATATTTTTTGAACTTGATCACATGTAGAGCTTTTTTGGATTAATTTTCTGGGTGCAGATTTTAATTTTGGTTAATGTCAATCCCCTTCCGGGTTTCAAATGCTCTATTCCTTATATTGCAGTGGTTTGATAAAAAAGCTCTCATTGATGCGTCAGTTATAAAATATTGTGTTTGGATCACTGCATTTTCAAAGGACTTTTTTAATGACCTTTAAGCAAAGCCATACTAGACCATATGCAAATATTTTTGATAGATTGTCATGTTTTTTTCTCTTGTTCAATCGGATMAGCCAATCAGGTTCCACAAAACGAGTTTCATTAACAATAGACTCAACCAATCAAATTCTTTGACTGATTACCACGTGATATTATTTGCTAAAGTTTGGTAAACAGTTTATAACAGTTCTATTRAGGCACCATTGATCAGTTACTTTCGAGCTGCGAACCGATAAAGGCTAACTACCTTTGATCTGATTCTCAAAATATTTTCTGACAACTTATAGGTAAGTTGCATTTGAATTCCCAATTGTAAAGTGGTATAGTATCATTTTTCATTCAATTCGAACTAATCTTTTCGACAGAAATTCATGCTTAGCAAATGTATTTCTAACAATGTACCACTTGCAAAACACGATTACATGGTCCGTTATGACTTCTAAGAACTTKATTTAGAAATCAAGTTCTTGGCAATATTTAAAGCTCTTCATATCGTTTTACTCTCACAAAACCTTAAATGTTTCAAAGTAATTTGAATTGAATTTTTCATTAAAACTTCAAGATCGTATTGAAAAGAGCGCGAAACGCGCGCGCTCTCCGCAACGGTTTTTACGCGCCTTTTTTAGCATGAATGACCAACGAACCCTGAACTAGATCTGAATGAACATTTTATAATTTTTTTATGTACTTGGTGTGCATACATTAGCAGCAGAATTTTGAATTTGTTTACCTTATGAGTTTGGCAACGTTGTTATCCTTTTCTGAATAAAACCTGAAATGTATTTGCGAAACGCCAAATACCTGAGACGCATATATGACTCCTAGCCAACGAGCAACGCCAAATAAAATCGCCTGATCACCTTATGACTTAATTGTTTCGGGATGCATGTTATCTTTTGCTTTTAGTAACTGGATAACTTAGCAGCAAAATTAATTAGCTCTTGACGTTTATGCCCCATACTCGAGGTATCGTTGGCTTTTTAGATAAGTGGGTATCGATGTACATGATTGGTAGAGGGGAGGGGGGAGGGATAGGCAAAGTAACCGGTTCACTTTTCCCCGTTCCTTCCTATAAGTGAAAAACAGTTCGTTGACGAGTTTTTTTGAAGAGTTTCCAAATTCTCTCATAAAAGCCCTGAAATCCAAGCCCCCAAGTCCAGTTCCCCCTATCGTTTAGCTTGCTCAAACACGACAGTGTAACAGAGCGCAATTAAGAATTCCCATCGAACGTTCAATCGTTCAGGTACCAACGTTCTGTAATAATAAAATAAAGTTGTAATGTAAAGGACAATAAACATGTTTTATGTTATAATTATCAATATAAGAATGGCAATTATTAGTTTGGAACGCGCTGGACTRGAAATGAAAAGAAATAATAAAAACATCGTACTATTACCAACTCGAAACAAACACATGGGGCATATGAATCACTCCCTTTTTTATTCGTGAATATACATAGATTTTTATTCAGTTTAGAATTATTCAAATAACCCTAATAATCAGTGATAATCACCTATATTACCAAATAATATGGTAAAAATGCTTGATGCCCCAAATTCAAAGCTTTTCACGTTTTTACTTGACTCACTCCAAATGTAATCTGCATTTTTTTAACGACATAAAGTGTCGTTATGGAGTGCCTCTGAAATCAATACCTTTGGACAGTAGTTTTAAGGTGTTTCCAAGGGTTTTATATATGTCGTTATGGAGTGCCTCTGAAATCAATACCTTTGGACAGTAGTTTTAAGGTGTTTCCAAGGGTTATATATAATTACATAGAAAAAACGAAAATACAATGGGAATSGACTTGATAATGGGTCTTATATAGTTGTCATGCATGCGATGGAAATCTGAAAACCTGAATTGTGACAAACAGTAGCTCTTTTTTCCAGCAAAATGTTTTTAAATAAGTAAATACCCTACTCGCAGTGGGGTACCGTTATCATGAAATATCCTACAAAGTAGCGCGGGCGATGGCAGGCAAACAGAGTTCGGCCGTGAGCAATATTTCTTTTGTTATTATCATTTATAATAAAAAAAAAACTCGAAAAAATGCCAATTTCATTTTGCTTTAATTGCAAATTACAATTCCTGTTTATTGATACAAAAGAATAACATTTACAATGTCCAAGTTTACATTTTTTACATTTCACGAGTAGATGAAAAAGTGTGACCATAGAGACACAAATTAGAAGTCGAACCTCAATTAAACGACCCTCGATTTAGCGGTCACCCTCCATAAATCGGTCACTCATGAATTTATCAATAGTCGCGCACGATTCTTACTATTCTTATATATATTTACTGCGAACGTGACCTATAGTGAACAGTCAATCCCGTTTACTCTTGCGATTTCTGACCTGAGTTTCGAACATGCTTGAGAATTAGCTGCAACTTTGGAGGMGATTTTCCATCGTCGCAACAATCGCAGGACTGTTAAGACCTGCGATTTTATTAGTCTCCTCGCAGCCGTGTTTAGTTTCGGTCACGCGTCACACAACCTCTCCACACACGGTTGCGTGACGCGTGACCGAAACTACACGGCTGCGAGGAGACTACGATTTTAATTGCGCGATAGCAAAGTGTAAACGGGCGGTTACTTCGTCTTATCCAAAGTGACCACTTAATAGAGGTTCGACGCGACCTGATTAAATACATATTTAATGATCAAGATTTTGGATCCTGCTGTGTACAACACATTTCGTACTTTTTATTTCCAGTTTGGTCGCCTGTGTACTTTGTAAAAGATGATTGCACCTCTTTGCCTGTTTATGCTGTTTGCAGCTAGTGATGCCTATCATATTACACACCACAGAGATGACCAGGTTGCAATCCTTGAGCCATCAACAAAAACTAGCTGGGGTGATTGGCGTCAGGCTGAGTACTGCAACGCCAGTTCATACGCCTATGCCTTCGAAATGAATGTAGGGAACCCCAAACAACCTGACGACGACACGGGAGTAAATGGAATTGTGTTGCTTTGCAGGCCGTAAGTTTCTTCTGTTTTATGGCAACAAAAAACATATAATTGCAATAAGTTAAATGGTCAGGGTAATATAAAAAGGCGAATATAAAAAGGTGAAATTGTACGATTTGTTTTACGAAAAGGATTACAAGAAGATTTATCATTTTTACTACGTAGTGCATATTTCGGCCTTTATCCAAAGGCCATCGACTGCAGACTGAACTTACATGAATGTAGTTCAAAAGACTTAGTAGGGGAATTGACTGTCCCTGTTCATTCAAGGATGGTTTTTGTTCTTTTATATAAAGCGCTTCGGCGAATCTCCTATGTTTATATGTTTTGAATTTTGACGCTAAATTTTCAAAACATATAAACAAAGGAGAATCGCCGAAGAGCTTTATATAAAAGAACAAAAACCATCCTTGAATGAACAGGGRCAGTCAATTTGAACTAATTAGTTATTCATGTAAGTTCAGTCTGCAGTGGGTCATTACACATTCAGAAAATTTCTGAATTATTTCATATGTACAGATGTACGCTTTTTTTTCTGAATTTCTTTATATGTAAGACGATATTTAACAACTTTACAAAATACATATATCAAAATTTAGAAATTTCTGAATTTTCCTGTTCACAATAATTTCTATATGCAGTACTTTATAGATTACAAATATGAAAATTTAGAAAAAAATCATTTTATCAGTACTAATGCAAAAATTTAGAAATTTTCCAAATATATCAATTCCCGTGCTTTTGTTTATCTATTGTTTTTGTTATTGTTAAGATCTTGCTATTTTGTTTATATAACTGATCAAGTTCTCTTTTTTGTATGTGGCATGGTTACATCAGGAGATTTCCTAACCAAAATTATCAGATCGCATCTATGTACAAAAATTGGGGCAAGTGGCAAAAGAAATTGTCATGCCCTGGACAGTCAAACTTTCTTACTGGAGTCTCGATCAAATCACAGTCTAAGCAATGGCATAGAGATGACACAGCAGGTAAAAACATGGGCTGTTCACATGTGGACTCTTAGTTCAGTCGCCGAAGACTTAAAAAAAATTAAAGCAGAGCAATAGAAGAATATTATGGGGTGTCCAGTTATAAAACAAAAGAGTTGTGTTATTGGTGGCATTATCATTATGATGATGGTAAATTATGATGATTCAGTATTACCAGATGATAATTATAATAGACCAATTATACCAATTTGAACTAGAGCAGAGTCACATGAACCATGAAATAAGAACTAAAAAGTACTAACTAATAGGGACTATTAGTTCCTAATAGTCATTAGCACTGAACCAGAACAGTTTATTTTATCCCATAAGCAACACCCAAGGGACCACTTTAACAATCAAAGTAATCTCTTTGTACTGTTCTGGTTCAGTGATAGTGTCTAAATAGTGCCTATTAGTAACT